AGCAGTTCTCTGTGAAACAGCAAGCCCTTAGAAGACCTCACCTATCTCCTGAGAAATCTGTATGCAGGTCAAGAAGCAACATTTAGAACGGGACATGGAACAACAGACTGGTTCCAAATTGGGAAAGGAGTATGTCAAGGCTGTATACTGTCACCCTGCTTATTACTTCTATGCAGAGGACACCATGAGAAATGTCAGGTTGTACGAAGCACAAGCTAGAATCAAGATTTCTGGGAGAAACATCAATAACGTCCGATACGCAGATGACAACACTCTCGAGGCAGAAAGCAAAGAAGAACTAAAGAGCCTCTTGATGAAAGTAAAAAAGGAGAGTGAAAAAGCTGGCTTAAAATTCAACATTCAAAAAATTAAGATCATGGCATCTGGTACCATCAATTCATGGCAAATAGATGGGCAAACAATGGAAACAGTAAGAGACGTTATTTTTTGGGCTCCAAAATTACTGCAGATGGTGACTGCAGCCATGAAATCAAAAGACACTTGCTCCTTGGAAGAAAAGCTGTGACAAACCTAGACAGCAATTCTAAAGCAGAAACATCACCTTGCCAACAAAGGTCCATCTGGTCAAAGCTATGGTTTTTCCAGTAATCATGTATGGATGTGAAAGTAGGACTATAAAGAAAGCTGAGCACCAAAAAATTAATGCTTTATGAACTGTGGTGTTGGAGAAGAGATCAAACAAGTCAATCCTAAAGGAAATCAGTCCTGAATATTCATTGGAAGGACTGATTCTGAAGCTGAAACTCTGAATACTTTGGCCACCTGATAAGAAGAACTGACTCACTGGAAAAGACCCTGATGCTGGGAAAGATTGAAGGCTGGAGAAGAGGACAACAGAGGATGAGATGGTTGGATGGCATCACCGACTCGATGAACATGAGTTTGAGTAAGCTCCGGGAGTTGGTGATGGACAGGGAAGCCTGGCGTGCTGCAGTCCATGGGGTTGCAAAGAGTTGGACACGACTGAGAGACTGAACTGACTGAGTCAGCATGAGATCAAAGAGTAAGAAAGTTAGAAGGGATGGAGGTGGCGCATTGAGAAAGAAAAATGTAGAACACCTGCTGGTAATCTTTCTGTTCATCTCCTTCATCTGAGCAGCTCAGTTCACATAGCTGCCTGCCCTTCCATCTTTCCATCCCACCCTCAGCCCCCTCCCTTATTTTTCTTTTTCTTGTCTTCTCTTTCCTTGTCTCCTGGAAGATAAGAGCAGAACCCCCTATCAGACAGGAAAGAAAAACAAAGCAATGGAGAAAGAATTCATTTTGTTATTTCTCTGCTCAAACCCTGGTCCCAAACCCACCCTGTCCCAGAGGCTGACACTGCCATGTATTTTGCTGTAAGCGACGTTACACTTTCAAAACACAACACTCTCCAAAGCAGTAAACTGCCCTAGAGAGAGACTTCAGCCATGTGCATTATGTAGGCTCACTAATTAACACAAAGCCTCAAGATGAACACATAGAAGCAATTAGGTCCAAACCAAAAGGAAATCATAGTCTTCACACAGGATAGTTAATAAATATGGAAATCCTAACCTATTCCCCAAGGATGCTGTCAATATTCAGGTTACAGTTCAGGTCAGGGCAGGAAGAAACAAGGTAAAAAGAGGTAGCATACATGGACTAAGAGGATTCTAGAAGAACTACTAAATGATTTTCAGGAGAAATGACCTTTACTGCTGGCAATGAAAAAGTCTTTGGGGACCTTTGATAAGATCCTCCACAGAGCAAAGGGGGAAGCTCAAGAGTCACACCCGTGGGAAATAGAAGTAGAAACAGAATCTTCAGATCTGAAGGACAAAGATAAAAGAATAAGGCTTTGAAGCCTAAAAACCCGAGGCTCCTTCTCATCCATATCTAATTATATTTCTCTATCATTCTGCAACACAGCAGTCCTAATTAAAAGCAGTAATTGAAAGAGAACCAGAGGGTCAGAGCAAGGAGGGAGGACGAAAGAAAGAAAGAAGAGGGGAGGAGGACTGGGAGAAGGTAAGAAACATGAGCAAGAATGAGCTGGAAACTCTTAAAAAGACTCAAAGACAATTGTTGGCTGGAAAACAAAAATCTGGTATAAAAAAATCAAAGTGTAGCACAAGGGAGGAACAATGTAAGGGAAGGTGGATAAAGGACAAGAACCAGGGAACAAGGGAGGGACTGAGCTCACTGAAAAAGAGAACTAAGGAAAAAATGAATAGAGAATTAATCCCCAAAAGGAGGAGGAGGAGGAAGTAGAAACAACAATGAAAGAAGCTGCTGCTACTTGATCTCAGTCATGTCCGACTCTTTGCAACTCCAGGGACGGTGCCAGGCTCCTCTGTCTATGGGACTGGGCAAGAACACTGGAGTGGGTTGCCATTTCCTTCTCCAAGGGGTCTTCCCAACCCAGGGATCGAACCCACTTCTCCTGCATGGGCAGGCAGATTCTTTACCAGCGAGCCACCAGGGAAGCCCTGCTGATAGACACGATTAATCCAAAACCAGGGAGCTACAAAACACTAGTTTTTCAGTTACCACCAGAAATCTGAAACCACAGTGATACTGTCTATTGGTATGCTGTTTTCAAAAAATTATTTATATCAAAAAGAGAAGAGATACTCATTTTCAGCATCTCGGTTCAGGATGGAAAGAGAGTAAGATTGGGGCTAAACTGGGGATTTGAGATGCAGACTGTGAAAATTCTGGTGAGTTCAGGAAGAGAGACCTCAACACAACTGGCTATTCAAGGACAGTGTCAGGGAAAGGCATCATGGCATGTTGAGAATGGGTGTTCTTTGAACATGCTCTGGGGAAGAAAGCATCTTTACTAGTCATTCTATATGGCATGAGAGGGAGAATGAAAAATTGCATTGTCCAGGTCACTGTGTGCCTAGTACAAAAGTACGGGTTTGTTAGACTCATCTTTTTTATTCGTGTTGCAAAATAAATACCATGGATTAAAGAACACTGGAAATCTCAATCTGAGAACTGTAAGAGGCAGTCACATGTTTCTGAAGCTGTAACCAAAAAAACACCCAAAATCTCTCTAAAAAACCCACTCCAGTACTCTTGCCTGGAAAATCCCATGGGTGGAGGAGCCTGGTAGGCTACAGTCCATGGGGTTGCGAAGGGTCAGACACAACTGAGCGACTTCACTTTCACTTTTCACCTTCATGCATTGGAGAAGGAAATGGCAACCCACTCCAGTGTTCTTGCCTGGAGAATCCCAGGGATGGGGGAGCCTGGTGGGCTGCCATCTATGGGGTTCCACGGAGTCAAACACCACTGAAGCGACTAATAGCAGCAGTAGCTCTCTAAAAAAAACAACTACCACTTGAACTCCTAAGCCTAACACAAGATCCCACCCACTTCGTACATAATCTCACTTTATTGTCACAGCATGCCTGAAAGAAGTATTAACCTCTCCAATAAACTTTACAAGACTAAGGCCTCTGACCAATGACCTCTGAGAAATGGACCACATCTACCAAGATATAAACCCCACAAGGCCATGGGTTTGGGGTCTGGGTCCATTTTGGTCTCGGCCATCCCTCTTAAAAAAATGCCTGACACAAAGAAACTAAACAAGAATTTATTGACTGAATAAATAAATGAGTGAATGTCTGTTTATGATTAGACAATGAACATGGCTAGGAAAAAAAAAAAAAACACACCACCTTGCCCATCAGTCTTATTTTAAATTCATGATGGTTAACCTCCAATGTGGGCACATAGCCTTCATAAAGCAGTCCAAGGTCTTTCAGTCCATTTTATTTATATATTCTATTTAAAGCCATGAGTCAGGATCAGCTCACCTCAAAGTGAGTGGAGGAAAAGGATCTCAAGTTTACAAGACAGGGAGGTAAGGAAAAACCAGAAAACTCTGAGGAAGAGGAGCTAGTGTGGCAGGGAAAAAACCTAAGAGAATACCGTGCCCTGGAAGCAAAGAGAAAAGAGAATTTCAAAACGGAAGGGGTAACTGGTCAGTTTCCCTAAGAAATAGACTTCAAGAAATTTTCCTAGGGGAGTAGCATGCATAAGGAATTAGGAAGCATGGAATAGTACAGAGACCTTGACCAGTTTTACCCGGGGCTCAGAGGCTGGGAGAGCCCTGTAGATCAGGGGACCCAACCTCCAGGATCTAATGCCTGATGACCTCAGGTGGAGCTGATGCAATAGTAATAGAAATAAAGTGCACAGTAAATATAATGCACTTGAATCATCCCCAAACCATCTCCTCTACTTCACAGCCTGGTCGGTGGAAAAATTCTCTTCCACAGAACCGGTCCCCGGTGCCCACAAGGTTGGGGAGTGCTGCTGGAGATATTCCCCCTCAAAGCAAGAGGCCAGCATCCACCTGTCACCGGACGCAGCTGGTCTCTGCACCTCACACTCATCCTCATTCACCTGGCTCCTTCACCAGACGCACTCTATTTCTACCCTGGGGGCGGGCACCAAACTCCCCTCCTATCACCAGACCAGCGATTAAAGCCAGGTCACAATATAATGTGGCAGGAAAGTGCTGCGCCTGCTGAGAGAGGAAAGGGACTTAACGCTACAGAGAGCCGCAGGATTTAGCTACATTCTCGTGCTCCCTCGCGCCCGGTGGCCCCGGGTCCAGCAAGTTTAGCTCCCATGCTCACTCGTGTGGTCTGGACACTGAGCACCGCCTCACCCCCTCCCTCGCCCCCGCCTTGAGAGCTTCTGTCACCAGATGGTGCCCTGAGACCACCTCCCGTGGAGCTTAGACATGGAGGCTCTGAGGTCCCCCGGGGTCTTGAGGATTTCGGCTTCAGGGCTCAATACTGTTCTCTCAACAGTACGTTGGTCCTAATTCTCCGCTATTTCAATATACACAGAACATTCCTGCAACACCCTGCCATTTCGGCTCCTTCCCGTCCTCTCCTCCACGGAGCCTGAGGTCTCCCCCTCGCTCCCTCGCGAGCTGACCCACAGCCCAGACGCCGGCGCAGCCCGCCTGCCGCCGCCATGAGGCGCAGCCGCTAGGGACGCGGGACGACAGGCCGAACCCAGCCCGGCTGGTTACTCACTCTCGAGAGGGCTGTCTCTTCACATCTGACGCTGGAACTTGAAGGCCTCGGGGCAGGCGGTTGGAAACAAGATGGAGAAAAGCAGAGAGGTGACAACCCAGAGAAAGGTCTGGAAATGGTGTCCGTCTCTGGCCGCCTCGGGTCTTCAGGAAGCGGGCATCTCTCGGGACACAGAGCTGGCCCAGAGGCTGGAGAAGCTGTGGGAGGATCCAGGGTGGTTCGAAGGCAGGACCAGGGCCGCCTCACACTGCGGGTGACCGCCAGCAAATAGGCGACGTGGGTGAGCGAAAGCGCCGGCCCGGGCCTTTGGAGCAGGAAGGAGGATGGCGGCAGCTCCACGCCTGCGCCCATTCCACCCCACGCCCCACCCCCACCCCACTTCACCTCACCTCCCCCACCACCACCTCCACCCCATTCCCTTCCCCCCACAGAAAAGGGCAAGAAGGCAATCTGGGGAGTGTGGTCCACCTGGGCCCACCTGGATCTTTATAGAACTAGCCCACCATCATTTTAACTCAAGATTTTTGGAGAAACTTAACACCTGTGGTCATCAGTTTTTCCTCTGGCTGGACAGAAATTCATTCTGTCATTTCACCATCACTTTGCAGGTCATTACATTCAATATTCACAGCTGACACACCTGGAACATCTGATTTTTGCGAAGTGTTTTCTTCAGTCCACTCTTCTGCGGAAGCCAAGGCTCATTCTCCAGCACTATGAGTTTCATTTTCATGTTCCGTTCCACAGCAGTCACTAAGTTTCACATCGTCCGAATCAGAACTATATTCTGAACTATGATCATCATCTGAGACACTAGTACACATGTTGCTAGGACAATCAGAGAAAGTAGCTGCATAAAATTCACTGAAAATTTTTTCACGCAAAATTTCACCATGCATCATTTTTGAAAATTTTATGCTTATACACAGGTTGGAACAAAAATGTAATGGGGCAAAATGTGAATAATAAGGATAATAATAAGCTGTGTAATGAACCCTTGATCAGTTTTAAGCTCTAACAACTTTGCATGGTGATGTTACTTGCATCAGTCTCTAAAAACATATTGATATATCTCAGGTCAATAATGTTCTGATTTCAAGACAGCAACCTCTGGCAGCCAGCTCCTCTCTCTCCAGCTCATTACCTCTAGTTGTTCAGTCGCTCAGTCATATCTGACTCTTTGCAACCCCATGGACTGCAGCCTGCCAGGCTTCCCTGTCCTTCACCATCTCCCAGAACTTGCTCAAACTTATGTCCATTGAGTTGGAGATGCCATCCAACCATCTCATCCTCTGTCCTTCCCTTCTCCTTCTGCCTTCAATTTTTCCCAGCATCAGGGTCTTTTTTTTACGAGTCAGGTCTTCACATGAGGTGGCCAAAGTATTGGAGCTTCAACTTCAGCATCAGTCCTTCCAATGAATATGCAGGATTGATTTCCTTTAGGATTGACTGGTTTGATCTCCTTGCAGTCCAAGGGACTCTCAAGAGTCTTCTCCAGCACCACAGTTCAAAAGCGTCAATTCTTTGGCGCTCAACTTTCTTTATAGTCCAACTCTCAAATCCATACATGACTACTGGAAAAACCATAGCTTGGACCATACAGACCTTTGTCAGCAAAGTAATGTCTCTGTTTTTTAATATGCCTATTAGGTTTTTTATGGTTTGTTTAGAATAACTTTTTGTTTAGGGCTAGGGCTTCCCTGGTAGCTCAACTGGTAAAGAATTCGCCTGCAATGCAGGAGACCCCGGTTCGATTCCTGGGTCAGGAAGGTCCCCTGGAGAAGTGATATGCTACCCACTCCAGTATTCTTGGACTTTCCTGGTGGCTCAGGTAGTAAAGAATCTGCCCGCATTGCAGGAGACCTGAGTTCGATCCCTGGGTTTGGAAGATACCCTGGAGGAGAACATGGCAACCTACTCCAATATTCTTGCTAGGAGAATCGCCATAGACAGAGGAGCCTGCCTGGTGGGCTACAGTCCATGGGGGTAGCAAAGAGTTGGACACAACTGACTGACTAAGCACACAGGTTTGTCATAGTTTTTCTTCCAAGGAGCAAGGTCTTGTAATTTCATAGCTGCAGTCACTGTCCACAGTGATTCTGGAGCCCAAGAAAATAAAGTCTTTAAATGTTTCCCCATCTATTTGCCATGAAGTGACGGGATTGGATGCCATGATCACCTCTAGTACTCTGCTCTAGTAGTTCTATGAGCCCACTGGAAGGGTCCAGCAATCCACAAACCCTGTCAAGGTCTCTCACAGTCACCAGACCCTGAGTTTCCTCTGAACCCAGGTCATTATCACAGGAATAAACCTTCCATAAACCTTCACTTCACTTTCCTATCTTCTTGCTCAGCTGCTGAAATGCCATCCCCCATGGTTGATGCCAACTCCCCACTTCCTCACAGCCTGCATCTGCACAGACCATCACTGCAGAAAAAAAAAATACACCATTCTGACCACCTTTTCTTTAAACCTGGGATCCCAACCTCTGAGATCTAATGCCTGATGATCTGAGGTGACGCTGATGTAATCAAAATAGAAATAAAGTGGACAATAAATGTAATGTGCTTGAATAATCCTGAAACCATCTCTCCTACAGGTCCATGGAAAAATTGTCTCCCAAGAAACCAGTCCCTGGTGCCAAAAATGTTGGGAACCACTGCTGCTTTAAACGATTTTAAGTTTAAAGTGAATTCCTAGCTACTTCCAGCAGCCCACCTGGACTCCCACGGGACACTCAGAGAGAACCCATCTCAGCCCTTCTTCGTTTCATTCTTGGCTTCACGTTTCAAACACGTCCTCTTCCTGTTCTCACTCAGCTCAGAACGTTGCTCCTCCCAGCAGAACCAAACACACTAAAAGATAGTGGCTTAAAACCAGACTCACTGTTGAACTCACTATTCTCTGATGTGGTCATTTGTGCCGGGCTTACCGGTCCTCAGGTGGCTCACTCACAGGTGTGGGTCTCAAAGGAGACGGCTAGGAAGGCAGAGGCAGCCAGCCTCTCTCCACGTGGATTTTCATTCTCCACCAGTATTCCCAGCCTGAGAATGGAAGCATCCGGGCTTCTCAAGCCCTAGGGTCTGCCTTCTACCGGACACAGTAAATCACAGGGCGGGCTTAAGCACTGTGAGAATAAAGGTCACCTCTTCATAAAAACAATCTGTGCTGATATTTATAATCTCCTGCAATTCCCAGGTGGCTCAATGCTAAAGAACCCACCTACCACTGCAAGAGATGCAGGAGACACAGATTTTCTCCCTCAATTGGGAAGATACCCTGGAGGAGGAAATGGCTACCCACTCCAGTAGTATTCTTGCCTGGAAAATCTCATGGACATAGGAGCCTGGGGGGCACAGGTGTGGGGTTGCAAAGAGTCGGGACATGATTGAATACACACACACACATGCACAATTTATTACTCTTTGTAGGTTTTCCAGATTCTGCCACAGACAACCAAATATTTATTTTACAAGACAATATTACTAAAAGTTACCTGCAAAGAACACTTAGAACAGCCACCTCTTCAAATGCCACTAACTCAAAGTAAAGCCCATCTACAATATCAAACCATTAATTAAACATAGAAGAGTAATGCTTAAATATGGTTCTTAAGCATGACTGTGCTTGAGAATTATCTGAGAAAGTTACCAAAGGGCTGATTCTTAGGCCTTACCCCTTAGAGAGGCTCCCCAGGTGGCTCAGTGGTAAAGAACCCATCTGCCAATGCAGAAGTACTCAAGTTCAATCCCTGGGTCAGGAAGATCCCCTGGAGGAGGAAATGGAAACCCACTCCAGTCTTCTTGCTTGAGAAATCCCATGGACAGAGGAACCTGGCGGGCTACCGTCCATGGGGCCACAAAGAGTCAGACGTGACTCAGCGACTGAGCACGAGCACCCCTCAGAGACTGTGATTTGGTCATTTCTGAAGACTGGCCCAGAAACCTGCATGTTTAACAAGTGCGACATGGCTTTTGATGCCTGTAGTCCACTGACCTCATTTTGAGAAACTCTGAAATAAATGGGTTGAGGGATTAAAAATAAATGGGGCTGAGGCTTCCCTGGTGGCTCAGATGGTAAAGAATCTGCCTGCCAATGCAGGAGTCCCAGGTCCCATCCCTGGGTCAGGAAGATCTCCTGGAGAAGGGAATGGCTACCCACTCCAGTATTCTTGCCTGAGAAATTCATGGACAGTGGAGCCCAGCAGGCTACAGGCCATGGGGTTGCAAAGAGTCAGACATGACTGAGCTATTAACACACTTAGTTAACCATCACTTTTACTTCTTTATTTTCTAGAGGGAGTGGGGTGGGGAGTAAGATCCCCAGAGGTCACCAGATTATCCCCTTAGAATTTTCACAAGGATTCAACAGAAAGCCACCATTTGGGCCTATTAGAAAAATTACTTTGCCAAGTTCCCTTATGCTCTTTCTGACAGTATTAATTATATCTTTATTTTACTAGCACTTTAAAATTATCAAAACTATTGGACTTTATTTGGCATTCTAGAAAATACTCTCATTTCCCCTCTCCCAACCTTAGAACCCTATTCAAATAACATTTTCTGAGATTTTCCTTAAGAAAACCAGTGTAATGAAATGGAAAGAGAATTGAAATTAAAAGACCAAGATATGACACATCTGTGTATGCAATCGCAAAGCAAACTTATCACTCATAACATGAGGGAATTGTACTAACCACTATTTGCTATATACCGTATAAATTTGACAATCTCTGATTTTCTGTCCTGTACATTAATGGCAAGGCTTTAAAGATCAATTTTAAAGTGTTAACATGTAATACTTACTTCGGGAATAAAAGTGGATTTAAAAAATCCAGCATCATCACAATTGTATCTATCTTCAGTAGGTGCCTATATGAAAAAATAGAAAACTATAGTTTAAATTGACACCCATAGGAGTAAATGGTATTCTTTCTTTCCTTTAAAACCCATGAGTATACATAAAGTTACATTTCATTACAAGTGCAATTTTATATGACTCTATCATTGGGATTTGCTAGTGAAGTTTGATGATAGTTTAGGCCATCATTTCACCTATGAGTAAGTGAGATATCTTACCTAGATGAATTCTCATTTTGCCTTGACTCTTTTGCTACCACCATAAATAATGCTCAGGTAGAGATACATGAAGTAAAATGAAGAATTTTGTGCAGTCAGTTTGATAGCACAGATCTGAAAGTGCCCAAAATTGTTCTCCTTTTTTATTATTATTTTTCATTTATATAGCACCTTAAATGCAACTTAAACCCCATAAAAACTGGAGGCACTGAACTGATGCCTGAGAGAACCCTAATACAACAGGTCTCAGAATTGGATCGAAATGCTTCTAT